TGGCACAAGCCGTCATCGATTGACCCGATGGCTAAATCGATTTAGTTCACTGTATAAACATTTTATTTTATTACTATTGTTTATTTAATAACTCACCCTACATTGTAAAACCATTAACTCAATTAATTAATAATTGTTTTTTGTAATACAAAGCCTGTTTTTAATACAATTATTCTGTTATTCTCGTAGAGCGTCGCTTTGAATCTGCACGCAATCACCAACAAACTAGATCTATGTTTTATAAATTAATAATTTTGTATTAAAATTTTTTACAGTATTCATATTTCATAATCAACTATTTGCTTCATTAGTTTTTAATTTTATTTTAATGTTAAAAAATAAAAACGTGTGAATAGACCTGACTGAAATTAGTAACTTGTCAAATCATTAGAACTGAAAATAATAATGACTATAATCAATTCGGTCATTCTCTAGGCAAACAAAAAATAAATAAATAAATATAAATTTAAAGATACGAGTACTTAGTTATTATGAATAGTTAGATACAAATAAAGAAACGAAAGAGAGCGAAACGGGGAACAGGTGTACGTAAAGAACGCGACCAGCGTAACTATATAAATCGTATCTTCATTCCGACATATTTATTTTTTCATTTCAGTAAATCTTGATGTACTTTTTTTCCCATCATCTAATCCTCGGTTATGCTTTTCGGACTTTGCAACTAGATTCAAAGAAACTGTAGCGAAACGCCTCCATTTTTTTTTCTATATCTTACATCTTAAGAAAAGAAAAAAAATAAGTATCTAATAATAAGAAGAAGAAAAAGAAGAAGAGTATAAGCAGTTATGTTATTTTTCGTCTTAAATCGATACATAAAATTTCTTTTTGTTTTACTGGGGTAAAAGTTATTTCATGCCTCAGTATCGTTGCTTTGGCGATGACGTAAGCTCTTTATATAAATATATATACGACATAATATAAGCATAAGTACATATGATAGGTACAAGAACATAAGTATACTCGGAGATTGACAAGACGATATAAGCTTCAAGGATACCGAGATTTAATAATTATAATAATAGAAAAAACTAGGATGTGTATTTTATTTATTTATATTTAAATAAAATATTCCATTATGTGGATATTAAATTACTTGAGTAATTTTTCTCAACGTTATTATCATGAATAGGTGAATAAATAGTATGATTAGAGATGTAAATAATACGATGAAGAGGGAAAAATAGTTAAAAAAAAAAAAAGAAAATAGTACGTGTGGAACAAAATGAGCATGCGTTATGTGGTGTGATGTGTGATGATAAATCTCCAGTGATGAGGAAGTGTGTAAATAAATATAATGATATAATAAAATAAAAAAAATAGCTCGCTTCCGCGGTAATAATACAGTACAACCGTAGGTCAATGTAATCCAAGATGAAAACTGCTCTAAGTAATAAGATCTCTAGCAGAGCAGACCAAATACCGAGATCAAGAGTTTAACAAGGAATCTAATCCAACACAAGTTGATAAAGAATAATACATACTAGCAATCTTGCAGTCACTATGTGACTACTGTGACTTGTGAACTATAATAAATAAAATTTTGCTTTATTAAATAATGAATTTTGTTAAATTGCACTGTACTTTTTTAACTATTGACGTTTTTAAAGATATAAGCTTTTCCTGATATTACACTTAATCAAGAGCTTTCATTTGAATACCCACATGTATTTTTGATATATTTTTCATATATACATAGTATATATATATATATATATATATATAGTATATATGAATATATAAAATATATGAAAAATTGATGTGGGTACTCAAATGAAAGGTCTCGATGAATGTAATGTCGAAGTGAGCTTATATCTTTAAAAATGTCAATAGTTCACAAGATACAGGGTCATTTATTAGTTATTGGCGTTTTTAAAGATATAAGCTCATCCCGATGTTACACTCATCAAAAGCTTTCATTTGAGTACCCATATGCATTTTTATATATTTTTTATATATACATATATGCATATATATAAATAAATGAAAAAATGATGTGGGTACTCAAATGAAAGGTCTTGATGAGTGTAACATCAGGATGAGCTTATATCTTTAAAAACGTCAATAATTCACTAGATATCTGTTAAATTGCACTGCACTTTCTTAACTATTGACTCTATATCTCGTAAACTATTGACATTTTTAAAGATATAAGCTCATCTCGATGTTACATTTATCAAGACTTTTCATTTGAGTACCCACATGCATTTTGATATATTTTTCATATATACATATATATAATATATATAAATATATGAAAAATTGATGTGGGTACTCAAATGAAAGGTCTTGATGAGTGTAACATCGGGATGAGCCTGTATATTTAAAAATATCAATAGTTCACAAGATACCGAGTTATTTCTTAATTATGTAGCCCCAATACTTATCATCATAAATTGACTATTGGTGAGAATGATATGAAACCATAAAAAACAACTCCAGGTCAAGACTTTTCCAACGATACCAAGTTCAACCATAAATCCCATTTTATCATATAAATACCCTGGCGACAAAATTTTGTTTATTCTCTTAATAATACGTATTCTGTGCTATGTTGATGAAAGTAAACTTTTGACTCATCACCGAATAGAAGTTGGAATAAGCTTGAAAACACACAACAAATCTTGACTTCCGCGTTGGGTCACAAATTCCTGCGGTGGTTGTTGTCAATGCTAATTTTACCTCACCGTAGAATTCAGTTTTCGACAAACAGTACCTAATTGCTCAAAATTTAATACTAATGATAAAGTTTTAAGATAAACTTTATCGTTAAACTAAAAATTCTTGAAGTTAAGTCTGCGGATGGAAGTTAGTCAGGGGATGAACTTAAAAGTATAATAAACGATTGAATCCTCAATAATCTAATGATTGAATCAGAATTATATTAGTGATCTCCTGTAGAGCGAGAGAGAGAATGGAATGCCGTTGATGAGAGGTGACGTAGTCGGTACTCAAATTGAATTACAGCTCGGGACTCAATAAACTGACCACGAGCAGAACGACTACAGCAACGGCGACGACAGTTAAATGTCCGACAGAGTGATACTCGTGTTCACATGTGTACACAAGGTAAAACCATATAATCTATAATAAAATCGAGCTATTATGTCACATCAAACTAATCAGACAGCGCTTAGTTTGTATTATGTTATTATTGGCTAAACGCGCTAGCTAGACCATACCAGCTTAGATCATGAGATCAACGCTCGACGCCCTTTGATTTTAATCCAGCTAATCGTCAATAATGAACACGCCAGCCATGTCAGGGAGCTCAGGGTGATTTGATCCTCCTACCCGATTTTAGTTGACAGACAAGTGAAATTCAATTAAACTCTAGAATCCGTATAAGGAGCAGAGTCTTGTCTCATCTCGGGAATGTAAGTATCTATTGTCTCTCATCATCAACAATTCATCTTCATTAGCAATTAATTTTCTAGCTCTCCCTATTCCAGATCACACCAGACAAGACCAATTTGTATTATAATAATAATGGATAAATGTCAATTGCTGAAATTACAGATTAAGTTATTAATTTTTAAATTATTCGAGGCTGCAATGATTATTTAAATTTTTTAAATTAATAAATATAGACTAAAGATAATTCACTGAGATTCTGGCATTAACCTTGGCCTCAGCCAGTCAGTAATCGACCGTTTTTTACATACTTTAACTAAACCGGCTAAACTTGGCAGGTGCAATTCAGGGTAAGTTTTTTTTTTTTTATTTTGCTATCATTATTTTTTTTTCCTACCCGCCAAATTTTTTTCTGGGTCATTTTATTGTCAAAATGAAGGATACAGCTGATCCTAAATTTTACTCTGTCCTAACAACGGATATTTCACTGAGTTTTGTTATTGACGTTTTGGTAATATATTAAATTCAAGATCATGATAAATTAACAAGCTTATCCAGAGATACTCACCTCGGTTAATCACTTGGAAACACAGCAACCACTGGTGGTTAAATTAGTCACTGATTTTATTCACTTGTGAAGAATAATATATTTCACGATCACTGAGACGACTTTTCACGACCACGCCAAAACAGCCCCTCGTCAACGACTGATTTTTATCGAACAACTCGCGCCAGCAACACTGCTCTCCTGCTACAATTGTCAAACTGACGGCTAGCTCAGCGCCACCTGCAGTTTCTTGGCTAAAATATTCAAATTTCCGCGGGTCGATAAAAAATTTCAATCACACGCGGGAAGATTATTCTTCTTCCATCTTGCAGGATAATTATGAAGTACTTTTATAATTATAAAGTTAGCCGACATTTTTGATTTTTTTATTTGGCTTAAAATTAATTTATTAAATTATAACTAAAAAATATTTTTAATAAATTGCACTTATAGTTTTTGAATTTTTTTACAATTGAAAAAATTTTTTAAAATTTTTTTGCAATAATTTTATTAATAAAAAAAAATTATAACAATTTTTACATGACTTAACTTATAATACTAAAGTTAACCGACGATTTTAATTTTTTTTTAATAATTAAATTAAAATAAAAAAATTTTTTTTAAAAACTGCACTGACAATTTTTAAAGTCTTTTACAAGTGAAAATTTTTTTTTTTTATTTTTTTGCAATCATTTTTTCAATAAAAAAAATTCTAAAAATTTTTAAATGTCGGCTAACTTAATTTTCATGCTAACTTTATTTTCAATGACACTAAAGTTAGTCGAAATTTTTAATGTTTTGATTTTTTTTTAATAATTAAATTAAAACAAAAAAATATTTATAAAAAATTGCACTAGGTAATCATTTTTTCAATAAAAAAAAATTTTTAAATGTCGGCTAACTTTATTTTTGTACTTTTTGACTCATGCGCTTTCAACTCCCGGGTCTTTGCTATCTTCGAATCATAACCTATATTACATACTTAAATTATTTTTAAACGCAACGCGTGTTTTTTGAAAAGTGAATTTTGTAATTATTAAAAATTGATTGAAGATTATTTGGTAAATGATATTTTTTAAAAATGCCGAATATGATTGAAAATACCGAAAAGAGAGAAGGAGAAAATGGTGAAATACAGGATAATAACATTAGTAATAAGAGTATCAACAGATGTGAGATGATATTGTCAATGGAAGATACTATTTCCACCGAAGATAATTATATACTTGGTATCTGTGGCACTCAGAGGTAATTTATTTCTTGATATTTAATTTATTAATTAAATAAAATTCTTAAAAGTAATTTTTTAATTGTAGCGAACCAGAATTCCGTATTTGCGCCGCATTATCTGATTACTCATGCGTTGTTTACAATGTCGGTGAACAGTTATCAAAAATTTTAAAATTAGATCACAACACGTCACCAATTGTCGGCGTTAAATTCTGTAATGGTTCAAAAAATATTTTGTATACTGCTACCAAGCATGGAAGTATTACTGCATGTGATTTGAGAGCTAAGGGCAAACCTGTTGCCGAGTTAAAAGGTATTTTTTTATGATCATTAGATACTCTGTCTAACAATCGCTTTATTGGATAAATTATTTGGGTAGATAATTCGTCCGAAGGAAAATTGAAACCACTAGCCAGTTTTGATATCAGCTGTGACGACAGGCTCGTCGCTGCTGGTACTGAGCACATCGGTGGAGATGCATTCATTCTATTCTGGGACATCAGGTTTAATAATTCCAAGTTTGACAGCAAGAATAATTTACTTGGCGGGTACTGGGAATCTCACATGGATGATGTCACATCTTTAGCTTTTCACTGTGAAAAAGAAAATGTCCTTGCTTCGGGAAGTACCGATGGACTTATAAATATTTTTGATTTAACACAAACCACTGAAGACTCTGCACTTAACTATTCTCTCAATACTGAATCGTCAGTGGTGAGACTACAATTGATTAATAAGATTGTAAATGTTCTTAAAAATTGACATAGAATATTTAAAATAATTATTTAATTTCAGGATAGAGTAGGGTGGCTAGAAGATGGTAATATTTGGTGTACCACACATACTCATTCATTCCAGATGTGGAAATGTGAGGATGCATCACCTTTTATTAAATATAACCGCAGTTGTATTGCCAATTTTTTGGTAAGTTTACTTGTTTATTCATTTTTTATAATTTAGTTTTTTATTTAATTAATTTATTTTATTTATTTTAGAATGAAGATCCAGATAGTTGTTACCTTGTTAAGATGAACAAATCTGAGTCAATAGATCATTCATTTTTACTAACTGGTTCGAGTTCAGTGAAAGGGTAATTAATTATAATAGTAAATTTTTAATCATCTTATGAAGTATTTCAGATCCTAGTTCATATAATAAATAAATAATTCAGGTTATTACGGATCAAATCTTTTTTATGCTAATTTTTTATTTCAATTCGGCGACGTTTCGCCATGGATCATGGCTTCTTCAGGCATCTAATTAAATACATACAAAAATTAGTCATGTTATATACAATATAAATAACAAACATATTTTAAAAAATTTTTTCAAAACCAAAATTTTTATTTTAAATGCTGTTAGGTATATATACAAAATTTTTTTTTTTGGTTTTGAAACATTTTTTTAAAATATGTTTGTTATTTAAGGTAAAAGACCCAGTTATTGACACTGGCCTAGTTATTAGACACTTGCAATTTTATTCTAATTAAAAAAATGAAATGTTCTAAAAAAAAAATAATTTTCTTAAAATTTATCATTCAAAAATTATATTTATTAATTTATTAGAGTTAATTTGTTTTTTTTTTAATTATGTATTTAATTAGATGCCTGAAGCCATGATCCATGGCGAAAAATCATTGAATTGAAATAAAAAATTGACATAAAAAAAGATTTGATCCATTATCACCTGAATTATTTATTTATTGTAAATTTTAAATTGAATAAATTTATTGTGAGAGTTTTGTATTTTAATGATAATTATTTTTCAGCGAAAATTTATCTGGAGTGATTGTCAATAGTGATGGGATGGAAATATGTTATGATTTTATAGGAAACAAACAAATTGTACGAGACAGTTGGCTTCATTCAAAGGTAATTTTTTAATAATTACTGTTTTATTGATACTTGATAATATAATCTTATGTCAATTTATTTTAAAAATTTAGAGTGGATGTATGATAACTGGAGGAGAGAGCAGTATTTTAAACTTGTGGAAGCAAAGTCCTGAGTCACTGTCAATTCCAAGGCATTCAGAACGTAAATCCATTGCCAAATCCAATGGAAAAGCTCGTGATAAGCATAGGACAAAACCGTACTAATCGTAATGGAAATTGTCGTGAAATTTTGTACAATTTTTTACATTTAATACCTATAAAAAAATGCATCTTTATATTTAAAAATAATAAATTTGATAATTTGTGTATTATCTTTATTTTTATTACAATAACAGTTTTATTTACATTTATAATAAATAGTATATTTTATTCATTTATTTTCTTCCTCAGGCAGCTAATTATTCATAATATATATATATGATAAAAAACATAGAATGTTATTTTAAATTATATAGGAATGTATACTCTCCGTTTATTCAAATGCACGGTATTATTTTTTTAATTTTATTATTATGATTTTATAAGAAAGTTGTAAGGCGTCATTAGAAAATATAGTTAACATTTTTTTTTTTTTTTTTTTTTTTTTTTTAAAGATAACTGTTCTCTATTAATTTTAATACTCGCGAATTTTAAGTTTTAGTACAGATAAATATGACCAGTGGTGTCTCTCCAGATAATTAATTTTAGAGCATGGAAGTGAGATAACAACTGCCTTGCCAAATCGTTAAAATATTAAGCCTAAAAAAATTTTTTCACCAAATTTTATATCGAAAAAATCGTTCTAGCTCATTAAAATAATTTATCTACGAGCACCTTAATAAATGTTTTTTTTTTTTTTTAAGATTTACTTTATACACGATTTAACAGGAATAAATATATAAAACTGCTTTTGTCATAACACGTGGCTAATTAAATGTAAGTATAAAAAGTTGGAATAAGAAGAAAATAAGTAGTAATATTAATTAATCAATAAGTCGATTAATTAATTATTATAATAATAACAATAAAGATCACTATTATGAGCGCGTAGATTGATTATGTAAATATAATAATTAGATTTAATAGTAACAAGTCTTTAAAAGGGAATATAAATTCAGGCAAAAATGATTTTCTCTTTAATTGCAATTTTAATACACAGTCTCGCTTAAATACTTTTAATTGCATTATTTATTCATTTGTATATCATTTTATTACGAGACTCGTCAATCGAGTATTTTTTAAAAAATATATATATATATTTTTTAAACATTCGATGCGAGAAAAAATACTTGAAATTTCAGCTATATAAAGTTTCATATTAAGAAAATATTTAAATTGTAAGCAAATAAAAATAAAGCGATTAACATTATTACCGATATCACAATAACAATAGAAGTAGTTACAGAGTTTAAGTACAAAAATACTTGCTCCGAAATATTTTTTAATAATTAGAAATATATATATATATATGTATATTTGTCGTCACTTTTTAAATATGACAATACCGGGGCCGCTTATGTTTCTTATTCCTCCCATTTTTATAATCTAGAAACTTGTATTTTACTTATTATTGTTTATCTTTTTTTTTCCTTTTAGACGTCTTAAAAATTATAAGCGATTGTACGCGAAAATAAATTTACAATTTAAAGCAAAAAAATTTTTATGATAAAAAGTAGGCCGTAAGACATTATCCAACGTTTCATCAACAGCACCGACTAATAAATTAATCGGCATTGGCATTAACAATTTAGTAGTATAATAATGATAGTAATAATCAACGACAGTGTCATTTAATTGTATGAGCATAAAACAACATATGTATATGCTTAATTACAATTATATATGTATAATTATAATTGATTGCAGCAAAGACTTTAGTAAAGTTAAACTTAGTGAGCATGAACTAGTATATAATTTCTCAGAGTAACTTTTATCAATCTTTCATCAGTTAATATTAATAATTATTTTTTTTTTTTTTACTACAGTACTATAATAATTAAATGACTTATTATATACCATATCCTCTACCGGAAGTCTCCTTAAATAATATTTTAATATTACTTCAATCAATCATCAATTATTAAATACAATTTCTTTTTTAACAATATATGTTTACCTACATTAATACATTAATACACTCACAGACTCACACATACAAAGTACATACAATAATCCAATAACAATCTTACTTTTTTTTCTTTAACATATCACGATACATATTTGTTATTATTTACTCTCTTACAACCGACAAACTTACAGTATAACGGTAAAATTCTATTGTCACCACAATTGATTTTTTAAAGAGTTATTATTAAATAACAGTAATTAATATTACTATTATTATTATTATAATTATATGATAATCTATAATTGATTTTTTTTTAAATTAATTTATACAGATTATTAATTATTAAGTACGGATCGTTTTCTCTTCAGGTTTTTTGCATCGATTATTTAATTCGTTTTTTTCAAAAGTATTGCACGCTTACACGTAATTTTAATTAATTCATTTATTGAATAAAAAAAAAGACATTTCACTCTGACATTTGTTCTCCTTAATACAGATTTTATTTTATGAATCTAGTTAATGTCATTTTAATGTTTTATCCATCGTATTTAACGCAATAATTAAATATAATGATCATAAATAATTTTTAAAGTTATTAAAAAAATCATTAATTAACAAATGGCAGTGAATAAGCCAGCCTTTCCAAATCCTCATTTGCTATTTATTATGTGAGATATAATTAATATGAAAATGAGGATATTTCCTCACAATTGGCTAATTTCCATTCTTAATGCTGATTATTACTTTTAAAATTATTTTGTTTAATTAAATGCAATATAAATGAGCTCCAGGTTATTTATTGGAATATAAATATTTTTTTTTAATCAGTTATTTTTGGAATATATTGGAGCGCGCATGAAAAAAATAATAAAAAATAAATGCATAAAAAATCACAAAAAACAATTTTTTTTTTTAATATTTTGTAATTAATGAGGCACATTCGTTGCCTTTTATCGAGATTATTCTCTTATAATATTCGATGATAAAGAATACTATCCGGACCCTATCATCATTTAATAAGATTCTCATTAAGCGTATTTACGAATCAAAATTATTAGTTCATGAATACACTTAGTAAGGATTTTTTTCAAATAATCAGTCATAGGACACGTAATTAGGGTAACACCCGCCTTGTCTAATCGTTGGATGAGGAAAAGTTTTACTTGATAAATTTATTTTCATTTTTAATGGATTTTGTTTTTCCAAACTACGACAGTATCTCAAATTACAAATACAAAATCTTTAAAATTAATGATACAATTTTATTGTACATAATGACGAATCATTTTTTATATAATAAATTCAATCAAAACTGGAAGTTAACGATTATCAAGTACGCTGAATTTAAAATAACGATTGCTTTATTTTGTTTAACAGTGCGTTTATCATATCATATATTCATATTCTTTTATTGTAAATTTTTTTAATACTGTAGTATGTACCGATCGTCGTCGCTTTCACCTTTTTTTTTATTATTATTTCTTGAAAATGTATTAAAAAAATAATTATTTTTCCCGCTAAACAGGCTTTTTTTACAACAAAAATAATTTCTTTTTGTGATAATAATAGTAAAAAATAATAGTCAATAATTATCCATATATTGGAGTAAGAAGACAGAAAAAATGTCGATTGCACATACATCCATACATACATACATATGTATACTGATATATACATATGTACATAAATTGGAAAAGCAACACAAATATTATTTTTTATAATTACTGATCACGCTTCATATGTCCAAAAATCTTAATATTTATTATAATTTTCAACAATTATCCAGTTATCGACTCTTGTGTATGTGTGAGTTTGTATTTTGTCAGTATTATATAAGAAACTTTCAGTCGATTACCAGAATTAGCAACAAGATGATCTAAATTAGTTCACCAAAACGGTTAATTAATACTAATTTGAAATACTTCATTATTTTTTTTTATACTGATCTAAAAAGTATGAATTTCATGGTTAAAAAATTTTTTTCATCGTTAATATTCACGTTTATATTTAAAAAAATAATTTCAATAAAAGCGAATGTTTATATCGTAAATTGAGTAAATAATAATGAAATTTAATTTAGCTGCCACTTAACAATTTTTTAATTTTCTTTAACAAAAAAATTTGTTCTAAAAAATTATTTTTAAAAAATTGCATTTCTAATTTTATTAAACTTCTACAAGTCGATTTTTTTAATAATTTTTTTTTTTGTAATAATTTATTTGTTAAAAAAAATCAAAAAAATTGTGAAGTGACAGCTAAATTTAATGTCATAAATAATAATTTCAAAAAAGCAAATTATCCTGTTGTTTATAAACATCAATACCAAAAGGACAAATAAACAAACTCACTGACCTTATTCAGTGTATAAATAAAACATTAATCATCAGTTTTGAATATTGGAAGTCAAAATGATTTAACGCGGCTCCTTGATTGTGCCTCCTTTGACGGGCTGCGCGATGGAGTTGGAGTAGAGGTGGGTGTTCCAGGTGCATTTGTAGATGCACGAGGTGGTCGACTGTGTTTTCGACCAAACCGGAAGAATCGTCAGAAAAATATAACTTCCTCTTCAAGTGGTTGCTGTGGCTCAGCACGCTGTTGATGTGGTTGAGGTGGTAGTGTCGACTGATGTTGCTGCTGGTGTTGTTGCGGTTGTTGCGATTGTTGATGATGGTAGGATTCTACTGATGAGCGTGCAATACGAACTGAACGATTCGATGAAGATGCTGATGATGATGATGATGACGATGACAATAATGAATGATTTCCATTATTATGATGGTGATGATGGAGATGATGATGGTTATGACCTAATTCTGGAGATGAGTAGGCCGAAGTAGTGACCACTGAGGCTGGGCTACAACTCGTCCGTGAGTGACGATCCGGGCTGTTATTGCATCCAATACTGGCACTCCTGTATAACACATCGAAGACTAATCTCAATGGAAATAAGCATCGATATCACTTTGATAAAACGTTTTTCGCCCAAAAAATAAATAATACCACATGCGCCAAGTCATAGCTGTTTTTTCTAATTTATTTATTTATTTATTTTTTCACCTTGTACTATTGTTGTTACTGCCGCTGGCAAGCTTAAGTGGTAGTTGTTGCTTAACAGGCGGTAGATTACTTGGTGCTTTCTGTTGATTAGTAGCACTTATTAAATTCAACGGTATCCTTTTAGCATCCGGTAATGACTTGCGTGACTGAAGAGTGTCACTGGACTGGCTAACGTGAGACACGTGAGTTGCATTTGAACAAACTGTTGGCGTTGTAACAACACCAGAGCGTTCCAATGCTTCGAGTCGTCGATACAATTGATCACGTTGATTTGTCACGTCGAGCTGTTCAGCGGCTACCTGTTCTCTGAGTCTCGTTAATTCAGCACGCTCCTCAGACAACTCCTTCCGTTCTTGCTGAGTGGCTGCCCGGAAGGCTGCCTTTTCACGACTCAACTGATCTTGCAAATTTCTCAGCTCCTCTAATTGACGATTTGGATTTGGCCGGCTGTTTGATGATTTACCTACTCCACCATCTTTACACGCCGATAATTGAGCTTGGAGGCTATCTATTGTCGTCATTTGATTACTTATTATGCAAAGTAATGTGTAGATATAATGGGACAGTCTTATTGCAGCTATTTGCTGATCTTTGTTGATTTCATGAGCGTCACCCTCCTTTTTAATATCACTTTCTTTTAAAAAGTCACTTGTTTTTGGTGGCGTCATTACGGAATGTAGTGTAGCTGAATCTCGCCATGGATATCGCTCCTGAATAAATAAAATAAATAATTAATTAAAAACTAGCAACCTTGCAGTCACTATGTGACTGCCGTGACTTGTGAACTATAAATAAATAAAATTTTGATTTGTTAAACAATGACTTTTGTTGAATAGCACTGTAATTTTTTAAATATTGATATTTTTAAAGATATAAGCTCATTCCGTTGTTATACTCATCAAGAGCTTTCATTTGAGTACCCACATGCATTTTGATATATTTTTTATATATACATATATCTAATATATATAAATATATGAAAAATTGATGTGGGTACTCAAATGAAAGCTCTTGATGATTGTTACATCAAAATGAGCTTATATCCTTAAAAATGTAAATAGTTGTCAAGATACAGGGTCACTTCTTAATTATGTATCTAGAGATAGAGCATTTTTGAATCCAACCTAAATACATATCATAATAAATTGACTATCGGTGAGAATAATATGAAACCTTAAAAAGGCACAACTTCAGTTCAAAACCTTTCCAACGATACGAAATTTACCCATAAAAACCCATTTTATCATATAAATACACTGGCCACAAAATTTTGCTTACTCTCTTAATAATATAAATAATAAAATTATAGAAAAAAAAATTTTTAAATAAATTTACTTTATTGTTGTTGTCGAATCCAGCAAAAGTTTCTGCTCGCCGCGGAATACAAAGAGCCGGAGGAATATAAGCTTCACTGTGACGTTCACCAGCAGAGCTTAAACTTCGTGACAATGAACCACCACCCGCTCCGTACGATAGAGAGCTAGCAAGTCGTGTTGCTTCTTGTACAGCTACTACAACCTAAAATAATTTTTAAACCAGTTAATTATCAATAATTAATCAATAAATAATCATCCACAGTGTATAAATTATTTACCTCTTGCCATACTTGCCACGAATCAGAGCCATCACCACGACACAATCGAGTGTAATCGGGTATATTTTCATTCCGCTCGGTTTTATCAGCTTCAGTATCATTCTCATTGCACATATTACCCTCGTATACCAATCTCATCTGCAGAGCCATTTTCTCTTCCAACAAAAGCGCTTGTTCGGTGTCTTTTTTTCTCAACTCACTTATTATTCGTAGTATATGAGTTTCCTTGGCTTTAGCAATACGTTGACGTTCATCAATAGACAAAGTAGATGCAGATGATGACCTAGTACCAGGAATCTCACCAATAGAGCCTTCATCTAAAGTGTCATTTTCACAGTCCTGTGGACATGCTTCAACAGCAGAACGTATAGCCGAGATCCACAAATGTTTATCTTTTGGTTTCTGTACTTTTAGCTCAAACATTTCTGGTTCAGAGGGATTGCTACTGATAACATATATACTACGAGACTCTTGGCCAGCCTTTTCACGGACCAATAATTTTTGCAGTGATACAACTCCAGCTTTATTATCAGGTACAAAGAAAGCGTACTTTTGATCTCGTGTTTCAGCTAAAAATAATAATACATCAGACAAGACGACTACAGTAACTGGTACCATTTTTCCACGACCTTGCATAAGGTATGCAGTACCCTCGAATTTTAAAACACGATTAAATGCCATTAGATCGGATTTCTTAAATTTAACACCACGATGATGAGCAAATGATTTAGCATCAATACGATTATATATTTCTAATTTTCTATCTTCACGTTCTTTATCAGCAACACAAGTGTCAACGTCACCCAGTATTTGTTTAACAAGATTTAATGCCTGGCGTAAATTTTCTTTTTCCTCATTAACTGTACCCGTTTTAATCAACGGCTCAACGAGCAATGGATACTTTGTCAAACGTTGCGTTACAAATAAAATACATTCAGGTATGCCTTTTTTCTTCAACAAAGGATTAGTCTGACATAGTTTAACAAACCGTGCAAATCTAGCGTCCATGCGTAAATAATACTTGTATGTATCAACAGCATCACGATGACGGCTACAAAATTCACCGTAAGCACTTGTCATACGTCCTGAATTATCATCTGAAAATTGTTCAACAAGTATGTCAGCTATTGTCGGTACTACTGGATTAGCGCTTTGGCGTTTTCGTAATTTTAATAAAAAACGCAAGTGGATATCTATTAAATCACGTAACCGTGGAAACATTCGTTCAAGATCTGGTGCACCCAAACGGAAATGCCGCCTTAATCCTTCAGCAAATATTCTATCCATTGCTAACAATACAAGACAGTGATGCTTTTCTGTAAGGACAAATTCATAAATATGCTCTTGACGCTTAACTTCACGATCATTATTGTCAACAAGTCTCAATGCTTCGCTACGTCCAATTGCTGCGCTCCAAGAATCTGGTTCATCTCCTCCCAATTTTAACTCTGGATCCAGTCCTTCTATGTCGCTGATTGTAAGCAAGTGGACGTCATCCCCAAAGTCAAACTCTTCCCATCCGCTGTAAAAATAAAATAAATCATTTTAATCGATGCTTTTTAAAGTTCAAGTTTATAAATTTATATTGAAAAAAAAAAAAAAAAAAAAAAAAAAAAAAAATATGTATGTGTATTTATATATAAAAATATATTTTTTAACTGACCTAACAATATCTCGATGTCCAGTATCGCCGTCTTTTTCCTCGCTGATTATTTGACTGTAAAAAATTCTCTTAGCATGAGTCAGTGCATTATAAAGTCCTTCCGATAGATTAAACTAATCGGTTGGATAGGCAAAAAGATGATCGATTGTTGCCTTCTCCTAACGTTAGCGTAATCATTTAAGCATAGGTATTACAAATAAAATAAAATAATAAATAAATAAATAACAATTAATAGTTTAACAGAGTGCACTGTATCAAACTTTTAGTGATAAAGTTTCAGTAAAAATTTTTAAATCAATTTTTATGTTATTGAAAAAGTTATACTTCTGATTGGGTAAACAAGGTCTATTTACACATTGTAAAAATTTTATTATTTCTATACCTTCCATAGAGAAGGTTTATTTTTTTTTTTTTTTTTTTTTTTGTAATTTAAAACAAAAATAAGACACAAGGCACAGATATAATTATTTTTAAATTTTTTGTGCTCTATAAATAATTAGGATAATTTTTTTTTCCATGGCAATGTTTGCTTACCAACTATGGAATAACTTATAACATTTGATACAACAATTAAAATGATAAAGAAAATAACGATCAGTAATAAATGAAAGCTACATTTAAATAAATTAAAAATAAATAAATAAAATAAATACAAGCAGGCAAGTTTTAAAAGCTCAGGCAAGCAGAAAATGTAATTAAATATTTCGCAATATGTGCCGGTCATTCGGTATTTATAATAAATAGTAAGTAGTAAATACGGGCGAGTGGTATGTGTGCGAAAAATAAAAAACAGCTTGCGTCACGTTATAATTTTTTTTTTTTTTCCTAAAGACAAAATACGTATAAATATAATACGTAGGATACATGTGTATCCAATAATACGGATTAAATATATATAAATAGGTAACGATTATGTATTATACATAATACAATAACAGCATAAACGATTCGATAAGGAAGAGTGAGACACATTGTGAGATGATATCTGTGGGTCGACTTACTTGACTCCAAGCTTGGTGGCAACACGCCGCCAAGGGCTGTAGCTTGTCACTGTTTTCTTGGTGCTAATTTCCCTTTTATCGTTGTTATCAGTGACCATACGGTATTCGTTGTGGTAGAGCACGGGAGGAAATGCACGGAGGAAGGAAAAAGCACACATTGCATTAGCGCAACCTTATGTTTTTTAATATCCACGACAATACCTTATTTTGATTTCATTATTTATATTTTTTTTTATCAATCTTTCCCTTTATTATTTTTACCTTCACTCCTTGCATTATCTTGCCATTTACTCACAATTTATTCTGTTTATTTTTTTATTTTAATTTATTTTTATTTTCATTATTTTATTGACTAGCATTACCAATTAGCATTTAGTTGTTGTTATTATGATTATAAAAAATATTATTATAAAATATTATTGTATCTTAGCTAAAAAATAATTACGCGATTGTAAAGCACTATTGACCTGGCTACAACGCTGCTACTTTAATACAACGATCAGTAAATTAATTAATAAAAATTCTGCCGCTCTATTCATCTCTTGCAATAATTATAAAATTAATTTTAAATAAGCTCCTGAGCCAATTTGAATCTTCAAGTTGATAATTGTTGTTGTTGTTGTTTTTATAAAAAATATGGATAATTATCAGCTATGATGTATATTTAATAAAAACTTGTAGATTCAATTTGCCTGTGCATCGGCAGCGTGCGAAACTTGGACCATAAACACGTAGATTCGATGCAATAATCGAATTTTAATATAAATAATATTATTAATAACTTACTTAGTGGAACCAGATGAGCTTGTTGGCGGTAGAGAAGCCGTTGAACCACGTTTAACGTGTCCTACACTCGAAGCTATTGAAACATTTGATATTGATTTAATAGCACCTTTAGTACTCTTTGTCTTTGAACATTCTGTTGACACTTGATCGCGACATGATTGATTTTGATGTACTGATGTTCCGCAAACTTTAATTATGCAGAAATAAAAATAAGTAAATATTAATATATACACAGAAAGAACAAGATGACACTGGATATCATCCCATATTATACTGAGTGAAAAAAAATTTCAGATAGTAGCTAGTATAATCTGGAGTTTTTTAGCTACTATCTGAAATTTTTTTTCACCACAGATATCCTAGTATAATCTGGAGTTTTTTAGCCTACTATCTGAAATTTTTTTCACCACAGATATCACTAAGTACAATCTGGGATGATATCCAGTGTCATCTTGTTCTTTCCGTGTACATAAAAAAATGATAATAATATTTTATAGTTTACATTAAATAAATTGCTACTTATACTTACTTTCACACTGTAAAATAGATTTATTGCTAAGTTGTTTCATGCAAATATCGCAAACAACAGTTCCCTGAGTCCCAGCAGTCATTGTTATCCAATGATGGGACTGCGGACTAGGTTTCTTCCCACTTTTGTCCTTAAAAAAAAAAAGTAAAATACCCAATTAGTATTATAGGATAAAATAAAAAAATAAAATAAATTAATTAAGAAATACCAACTTTTTTTTTACGGAAAAATAATGAACCTCTCTTCCTACGTGTTTTTTCCGAATGCTGATCATCATAAGCTGTACCACTGTAATAATTACAGATGAATTATTAATTTAAAATAAATATTAAACAATTAAAATAATAATAATAAAAATAATAACGATAATAAATAAAAAGCAAAAGCATAGCTCGACAAGCTATTTGTGATAATGATTAATGATTAAAATTATATAATGCAGTGATAAAAATTAATACACTCAGATATACACGACTTAGTTTAAGTACTAACCATAACCCTTTGAAGTAATGTGATTGATTATAATTATAATCATTAGAATTTAATAAATATTAAAATTGTACTTGTGTTAAATAGAAGATAGTTTAGTTTTTAAAACTATTTTATAATACATATACATCTAATTACTCACTCAGTCATAAGCTCGTCGAGAGAAACTTGAACATTAGCGGAATCTTCACGTATTAAATCTTCATGGAATGGGTGATGATGACTATGGGCTGTATGAAGGTCCTCAGTCTCAGTCTCACTTCCACTACCTTTCTCATTTCTTTCAAGTCGTCTGCTGTCATGCATGATCATAGCAAATGATATACAGTGCAACACACACTAAACTAATTAACTATTGTGTTTTTCTCTAAATCGCGATCGTGTCTAATTTTTATCATTTATCTCAGTATAAATATCAATTCATTAGGTACTTTAGAAATATAGAAACAAATACACCAAATATATAGATATTTTATAAATACAAAGTGTATTGAGAAAAAATTGATAAAATATTTTAATACTCTATTCTCTATTAATTAATTTATTTTAATTTATATAAACAATTGATAGATAATTTACTGGCATGCTTAATGTGCGACAAATAAATATGTGATCCAAGCACTCATGAATCGAGCAGCAAAAGATTCAGTCTTATATTTAAAGAAAGAAGAAAGAAAATTTGAAAGTGATTGCATATTATTTTAGCTAGCTAAATATATGTATAATAATATATAAAAATTTTGCTGTTTTATGGTATAAAATATCGACAATTAGAAATAACTTACGCGGCTAAAGAGGGGGTTGCGCGTGAACCTGACTCAGCAAGTAAAGTTTGTCCAGGTGGGGTGATGATTGATGGTGTGGAAATTGATTTTTGAAGGGGTAAACGTGATCCTGTAACCCCTGGTAGTAAGTTTGATGTTTCCGTTGACCTTTGATTGCCACCTCTTTTAACCGCTAGCTTCTGTAAATCAATCTGCATCCAAGAGATTCACACGTTAAATGTAAGATTCATTAATCTATGATTAATTACATTACCCCGGAGAAAAAAATATTTAAAAAATGCGGTGTAATTAATTTTTACCTGAACAAGGTCAGCCTCATTGAGAGAGTGGGTACTTGTTTGAGATCTACACGATCTATTAGTAACTCCTGCACAAGGGGAACGTGATTTACCGTCCGATTCAAGGTCTATTTCGCTATCTAGACTACTCAGACTGATACTGCGTTGTCTCTGAAAATATCATTTTTTTCTTTTTACACCAAATCATCAGATAATTAATCAAATAAATAACTTCATTAAATAACGTAATATAATAACGCAATTTCACATCCAATATTAAGAAAAAAAAAAATTTATATACCATATTTTGTGCTTGTAAATGGTTTTGAATTTGACACCGATGACGGTGTCGACTTTCCTCAAGATCAGTCCAACTGCGACGTCGATCTACGCCCAGCATTGAAGGTGGTAATTGTCCAGAATTTGGAAAATGTGTTGGAGAACTGTTGGTAGAACAATTGGCAAGATCAGGATCTGAACCAGGACCAGGACCACCACGATCACCAGCACGTCCTTTTGCGGCTGCTAAGCTCAAAGGACAAAGTGATGGACATGATGCACTTAGTCGCTGTGATGGTTCATTCTGTAGCAAACGATTCCCGAAGCCTAAGGTGCATAATGTCAAATCACGCATTCGCTGAATACTGTTGTGAATTTCATGAAGCTGTTGGAGATTATCTTCTGCAAAAAATAAAAAATAACAAACTCTTATTGGTACAATACTAACAATCCTGGTGTCCATTAGGAATAGAAGCTAATTTATTATCCGGTAATATCTTTGATCAAATAATGCAACATTACTAATTTAATCTATATTGGCCAAGTTTCAAATCTTAACAGATGTTTAAAACGAATATTTTCAGTTCTCTAACAATACTTTTTTGTTTTTTTTTATTTTTTCTGTTTTTTTTTTTTTAGTAGATTTTATAGAAATCTAACTATTGTATTGGTCCTCATGACCAATACTCCTTAAGTCGACCTTAACTATACTACCTTAACTCGACGAGCTGAGTCAGAAAATACATAATATGGCTCAAAAGTTTATATATATATATCAGATATAACGCGGCTTGTCACGACGATAGCGTCGCCAAATTACAACGGATCTTCACCAAACTCAACATACTTTTTCTATAGATAAATACCGAAGTCAAGTTCAAAGATGAGCTTAATCGGTCAAGTAATTTAGAAATGCCAGGATTTCAAAAGTTTCAAATTTCTTTACTTTCTTACTCGAATAACTTTTGAATGGGATAACTTATTGAATCTCGGTAAATTGCATCTAAAAGCTCTTTAAACAAACTACAATTTAAGTACCGTATCATATGTGGTTTTCTTTTTATTTTTGTATAAAATCCTGGTAGTTTTTTTTTTTCTATTCATTATAAAATCTATTTTCATTTCGGCTGCCGAATGGCCTTTTTTTTTCTTTTATAGTACATTAAAATATTATTTTTATTTCCAATTTTGTTTTTTATATATATGTAATAAGGTATTGTAAAAGGACGTTAAATTTATACTCTAGTGACCCTGTTATTGGCCATTGCTGTTGGGTCTTTATATAAAGAAATAAATAAATGAATAAATAAACAATACCAAATAATTGATATCGAAATTGAAGATTACCTAAGACAGGATAATGCTTAGCTAATCCCGGAGAGTGAGGAGTAACGCTGATAATCGGAACTAGTGGATTCTGTTGGTTACGAATATTAACTTCAAGCGTCGGAGGATCTGAATGACGCTGATCTTCGCCGCTCTCAGACATTATAATATCCGGATTATCTTTGGTATATTGAGCGTTAGTATGGTTGTCGTCATCAAGATTCAACGACGCCAGTTCACCATTCACTACAGACACATGGTGATTACAGTCATTGATTTCAGAACCTAAGTAATCCGTAATCACATCTTCGTCACTATCTTCTCCGCTATTGGGGCATTCATCTGTAAAGTTAAATCACATTACATTACACTTACTTATTTATAATAAGTGAAAATAAAAATTGAATAACTTGATAAAAATAAAAAAATCTAAATTCCTATCCGTTTATGTTTATTCATAAAGTAACATCAGTACAGTGCTTGACATTGGTACAGGTAATTGAATAGATGGAATTTATCAAGATATGAGAAAACCGATACGGCATATCCATTTTCCATGTGTAAGTATAAAGTACACACTTGTACTTGGTTTATAGAGAGCGAATAAACTCGTACTCAAACTAGTAGACATCTATCTCGAGATATTTCCCATTAGTAACCGCAAAAGATGTTCAATAGAAACCAGGTCACTATTTATACCTATGTATTTATACATACATACATTAACTATTATTTAAATCGTCATCGATATTTCGGACTTGTATTTAAACGCCATAGTTCAATAATACTCTGCTAAAATCATGGTCAAGAGCTATCAAGCCACTGAATAAAAACGTCAAATAATTCTTAACTCACAGATTTAATAATAATAATAATAATAATAATAATAATAATATTAATAATATTAATAATGTATTCAATTGTTTAAATTCAATAGACCATTATTAACCATTAACACCACCTACATCTCTATTTAACAATCTACATAAATTTCATTTCTATTTTTGTATGTATTTTATTATAATATTAAAACTATTGATCTCGCTCTTGAAACATTTTTAGTATTAAAGTAGCACAGCTGATACAAAATACGTCCGATGAGTTTTACGTCACAATACGTATTTTTTTTTTATCTCTTTTTTTTTTTTCAAGTAAGTATGGCGTTTAATTTTAGTCGATAATTAAATTTTAATTACCGTTAGCGTTTAACAGTATTGATAAACATTAATTTAAATTGACAGCAGTTAAAAAGATGGGTAAATAAATAAAAGAGTAATTACAGATAAAAAAAAAAAAAAATGAATAAACAAAGTGAAAAAAAGTAATTAAAAAATGTTCTGGCCTTTAGCAAAGAGTAAAAACGCGGTGTTGCATCCACTACAAAAAGCCTCGAGGACGAATTGATCGCGACCTCGCGCTCGCACAACTCCCAGTGCTCTCTACTCTGTCCTCTCAGTATATTCTACTACTATACTACCCTGCTATGTTGTTGGCATAAGAGTCAACCGTCCAGGCCATCCCCAACCAACCAACCCCTTGGATAAAACAAAATCACAAAAGTCGTGCTGCTTCTCCCACTCCATATAAATATATATATATAGCGATATATATGGCATCCCACTGGCACTTATCGTTAAATCTTTTTGTGGATAGAGCTTTATTTTTATCCTACATTTTCACGGATTCTTTTCAACTTTACGAAGCATCACAAATGCATTTAAATATCAATACAAATAAATAATACACATGAATAATTTACCTGTACAAGCGAGAAACAAAAACAAAATAATAATAAAAATAATGATAAAATAAAACAAATAAAAAAAAATTACCTGATGAAAATGGAGCGAGTCCTTCCTGACGTTTTTCCATATTTATACCATAAAATTAATATGATTTTATTTAAAAACTCCAATTTTCACCAACTGTAAACACGTTAAATTGATTTTATAATTAAATAGTAAAAAGTAAATAAAAATAAATAAATATAAAATAGTAAGACACAAGATAGCCGTCACGGTGATGAATTATTGAAGATAATTGAGAAATCGTTGTAAAAAAAATTCCAACATGCGTGTCAATAAATTTATATTGTTATACGGTGTGAAAGTATAACGATTATAGTAACTAATAGAAAAAAAATAAAATTATACATATGTATGTGTATGTGTGTGAACATTATACATATATATATATATATATATATAATGAGCGTCTAAGGCACGGGCCAACAGTCGATTTATTATTATTTCCGGAGGTGGAAACGACACTTGTTGCCAGGGAAAGCCGCAATGACAGGTAGTTATTGAGTCTGGCCACATTATCCAAAATACAAATTTACTTCACTAAAAAATCATGTGAATTTTTTTTTAGATACATGTATGTGTACATTGTACATACATACCCAGCGCAAGTAAGTTTAAATGAATAAATCAAGTCACTGCCAACACAGTCACACTACAGATGCTTCCATATTCAGTATTCCGTGAATACGTGTTTATTTATTTCGAAAAACTAAGTATCTTCCGTTGCTTCTGTCTTCTATATATATTTTTTATATTATATATTTTTCTCGTACACTTATCGTACGTCGACCATTTTATATATTAATACATGTACATACAACGTAACTAACTTAAAGATATACAAGCACTGGCTCCAAATCTGACACTCCTTTCTCTGAGCACCTCTGTGGTTGTTACCTTTTGCTTTTGATGATGTTGAACAACTAGCTATATAAAAAGTGCTCGAGTGGAGAAGTGAACAAAAGATAACGCTTTTATGTTACCAACTTAATCCACTAAATTTATTCAAATTCAAACTTTTTTGTTGGTCACCCTTGATTTAAATTTATTGTATCGCGCGCTCTTTTAATAATTTTGTTTAATTTGACAGCTAACCTCAAAAATTTTTATTTTTTCTTGTCAATAATCATACATTTATTATTAATTTGTTCAAGAATAATATTTTATCCAAATTTTCACATTTAAAACTTGAGAAAATGAGAATAATCAAATGGCGGGAACTCGGAAAAATTTTTTAATTATTTTTTATTGACGTTAGATATAGAACTGTAATATCTTGGCTGATAAGACAGTACAGTTTTCCATAATTTTTTTAAAAATAAGGTAAAAGACCCAGTTATTGACACTGGCCTAGTTGATGGACACTTGCAATTTTATTCTAATTAAAAAAATTAAATGTTCTCAAAAAATCAATTCTCTAAAAAATTTATAATTCAAAAATTATATTTATTAATTTATTAGAGTCGATTTGTTTTATTTAATTAAAATAAAATTTCAAGTGTCAATAACTGGATCTTTTATAATACGGAAAAATACATAATACTGAAGTTAGCCGTCAGCTGTCAATTTTAAAAATTTTTATAACAAATCAATTACAATAAAAAAATGCTTCTAAAAATTTTCACTTGTAATTTTTATTAATTTTGACATGTGAAATTTTTTAATTAAATTTTATTTATAATAATTTGATTGCCATAAAATTTTAAGAATATTTTTCATGTCTGTCAACTTCAGTGTCATAAAAATACAGATTCATTTATAAGAAAACATTTAACATTTCTTTATTTACTTACATATTCAAATATCTAGTATTTTTTTGTACAAAAAAACATTTAAATATTTATTTTTGTTATGTACATAATATAAAATATATTATACATATTTCTTATTTTTTTTCAATAATAAAATTCTGTAACTAATTTAAATTAATTGATATAATTTATATTATAATTATAACTAATAAAAAAGATAGACACATCTTACACGTCTACAGCTTCATCGAAATCTTCTTGTGATATCTAGAATTAAATAATTTTTAATGAGTTAAAGTTTTGAAACAAAATAAAACTTTCAATTAATTGCCAATAATATTTAATTAAACTTTACCTTTTTTTTCTTTAATTTCTTCATCAGCGCATTTTCTTTAGCGTACACAGATAATTCATCTAAAATCTCTTGCATAGAAGTTTTCCGTTTTTTGAACTTACCAGATTCATCAGTTTTTCCTTGTTTAGACTTTTTCTCTTTCTTCGTAATACGTTTATCCTGTTTCTCAGTTTTCTTTTTTTTCGCCTCAGACCAAGACACTGTATTTTTCATACGCCGTTTTACATTACTAGGCCATTTCCCAGTTTTACGATAAATATCAAGATTTTCCAATCGTTTTTCTTCTCTTTGTTTATTTTTGTATTTGATAGAATTAGTATCAACATCAACTTCTACAAAAGACGACAAATTCCGATTTTTTAGTTCTGGCATCCGCGGCATTCGTAAAAGACCAAAACCCATTGCTGTCAAACCGAGATCTAAATCTTTTAAGCTTAAAATTAAATTACATTCATGTTTACTATACGACTGTATGTATGAAACAAAAGCACAATTAGCTTTATCGAATAAAAGTCTATCATTGAGCTGTAAATTTCTCATCCTTTTCAAACATTGTTGAACAAGTTCATCAATTGAATTATCAAAATTAATTTGGTCTAATTTTACTTTTTGATTTCGTTTAATAAATTCAATGTACGCATCTTCAGTACGTAAAAGAAAGAGTAGTGCATTTCCATTATGACCGATTCGTGCAGTTCTGCCACACCGATGTACAAAGTTACTGGCAGAGGATGGTGGATCATATTGCAGAACCCAATCTACTTCAGGAATATCAATTCCCCGAGCCATTACATCAGTACAGATAAGAATACCACTGTCAATTTTATGAAAATCATCGAATATTTTCTTTCTTCGGCCTTTTAATTTTCCGTGAAGAGAAAATATATTTCCACCAGGAAACATTCTGTAAATTTTTAAATAATCTATATTATTAAGAGAATAAGAAAAATTTTGTGTCCAGGATAATCATATGATAAAATCGGTCTTTTTAATCAAATTTAGTGTCATTGCAAAGATCTTGAAGATCAGCATTCGAAAATGCTCCATCATATATGAATATATGAAAAATATATTAAAATTGATGTGGGTGCTCAAATGAAAGCTCTTAATGAGTGTAACATCGAGATGAGCTTATATCTTTAAAAATGTCAATAATTAAGAAATGACCTTGTATCTTGTCAACTATTGATATTTTTACAGATATAAGCTCATCTCGATGTTACACTCATCGAGACCTTTCATTTGAGTACCCACATCAATTTTTCAAATATTTCGTATATTTATATATATATATATATATA